CAGGCTCCAGGCTCCGAGCCACCAGCCCAGAGCCCGACGCGGGGCTCGAACTCACGGACCGCGAGATCGTGACCTGGCTGAAGTCGGACGCTAAACCGACTGCGCCACCCAGGCGCCCCTAGATCTGTATTTTAGTAGTGATATTGGTATGCTAATTTAGGGGTTGAAAACTAATGTCAGAGGACTGCCAAATCGTTAAATGCCCCAATTCTAAAGTTGTGTAATACAAACTGTAAATGTGATTCAAGGAAGGGAATTTTACTGAGGGTTAGGGTTAGAGAAGGATTCTAAAGAAACTGAAGTGCATTCAGGTAGACATGAATTGGGCACTAGGGGAAGTGTTTGGAAGGTAAGCCCTTTGGGGCAGAGGAGCACTAGAGCTGTACCTGGACTCCTTAGTGGTGATGACTGATGAGAGCTGATTGGCTGCTAGCCAGGACCAGGCTTCTGCTTGGGCTGCCTCGCCCCCTAACTGCAACTTGATGCATCTGTAACGAAAATGGTTCCACACGCCATAAACTAATCTGCTGAAAACAATCACATTATTTTGTTACCAAAACTAGAGACAAGGTGATAACTTTAGCTCTGGTCTGGGGCTGAATTCACTACTGGGGAATACTGGCTCTTTCCTCCCCTTACAGCCACATAACTGGAGGACCCACAAGGCCATTGGTAAGTGTTAAGAGAGAATTTACTTCTAAGGGAAAAATTCTGCAAGTTTAAAAAATATTTCCAATTCACAAACTACTTGACTAATATTTAGGTACAAGGTTACTTCAATAAAAAGTACTTTTTAATAATGCTTACAGGGGCCTAAAGGATTGAATACATGCCTTTTCTAAAATGGACCCCACTGTTGACGCCACATTATCTACTGTCCTGTGGGAATGTAGGCCTGGGAATGCCAGGTTTTTTGAGTTCTCAAGAGAAGCTATAAATCAAGATTAAAAAAAATCATAATTAAATTATAAAAATCACTGGTAGACTAGACAAAAGCATTTCTTTAAAGCACTACTGGCTTAGGTACTGTGCTGACAGTGTGCAGCCTGCTTCAGATCCTCTGTCCCCCTCTCTCTTTGCCTCTCCCCAACTCATTCTCTCTCAAAAATAAACGTTAAAAAAAAAGAAAGAAAGAAAATGAAGACCATGGAAAGACAATTTCATACATACTTGAAAGCAAGTCCCTCAAAGACTGGCGTCAAGGGAAGCTTAAAAGTCTGACAGAGGGATATGGCAGTGTCAAAAAGGCCAGCCTGAACCAAGAGAGAGACCATCTCCTCTGCTGATGAACTTCCTGTGAAAATGGAAAAGAGCTTTTTAGTGCAAACAATGGTGTATGTGGATGACCCAAAGCCCCAAAGCCGCCCCTGGTATGAGCATCTCAGAGGAAGAGTGAGAGGCTCTGGCCAGTCTAGCCTACTGTGTCCACCGCCCGGCCTGAAGCAAAGCGTGCTGCCAGTGCTCCCAGAATGCCTCATTCCTACCTGCAACTGCAACTGCTGACGGGTCATGCTGAGCCAGAGTGAGGCGGATTCGGGCCAAGGAACACTCTTTTTCCAGGTCTCCCAGTTCCAGAATTTCAATCTGCCGATTGGCTAGAAGCCAAAGAAAAATGTTTTCAATTCCCAAAGGACAAAGGAAGTGTGTCTCATCAGTGCCTATTAACTCAGTCTATCAATTTCCACTAAACATGAATTCAGTGTCAATTCCAAAGGCACTAGAGGGAAAACACAGGGCTCCATAAAAGTGAACTTAAAAATAAAGCAACAGGGGGCGCCTGGGTGGCTCAGTTGGTTAAGCTGCCGACTTCGGCTCAGGTCATGATCTCGTGGTCCGTGAGTTCGAGCCACGCGTCGGGCTCTGTGCTGACAGCTCAGAGCCTGGAGCCTGTTTCGGATTCTGTGTCTCCCTCTCTCTGACCCTCCCCCGTTCATGCTTTGTCTCTCTCTCTCTGTCTCAAAAATAAATAAACGTTAGAAAAAAAAAAATAAAAAAAAAAATAAAGCAATAGCCGTGTCCAGCATGCAGCTGAGCCAAATCAAAGTACTCAAATAACAGCTGCAGGTGAGAAGATGCTTACAAGGTACTTTCCACAGAATTTCCTTTAACTCTTACAACCCTGAGATGCAGTTATCTACATCAGTATGAAAGGAACATGCCCACAGTGAGAAAGGCAGAATTATAACCAGGTGTGTCCAACTCTGGAGCCCAGGCTTTTTTTTAAAAAAAAAATTTTTTTTTTTCAACGTTTATTTTTGGGACAGAGAGAGACAGAGCATGAACGGGGGAGGGGCAGAGAGAGAGGGAGACACAGAATCGGAA